AATGCTGACATTAGGGTGGGGGGGATGTCAAGGAGTTGGCTACTTTGCTAGTGTATGTCTGTCTATGGCTCCCAGTACTTGGCCAAGGCAGATACCTACACAAGGAACGCTGAGATTGGGGGGGGGGGGGGGGGGGGGGGGGGCATGTCAAAGAGTTGTCTGCTTCTCTAGTGAGTGCCTCTCTCTGGCTTCCTGCACTTGGCCAAGGCAAATACCTACTCAAGGAATGCTGAGATGGGGGTGAAGGGGGATGTCAAGGTGATGGCTGCTTTGCTAGCGAGTGGCTGTCTCTGGCTCCCAGCACTTTCCTGAATCAAGTACTTAACTGGACAATGCTGACACCGGGAGGAGGGCATGTCAAGGAGATGGCTGCTTTGCTAGCGAGTGGCTGTCTCTGGCTCCCAGCACATGCCCGAGGCAAATAACTACACAAGAAATTCTGTGTCAGGGACGGAGCATGCCTAGGCGATGGCTGCTTTGCTAGTAAATGGCTGTCTCCAGCTCCCAGCACTTGCCTGAAACTAGTACCCACACAAGGAATGCCATGTCATGGAGAGGGCATGTCAAGGAGATGGCTGCTTTCTTAGTAAGTGGCTGTCTCTGGCTCCCAGCACTTGTCTGAGACAAGTACCAAGATAAGGAATGTCAAGTCATGGAGAGGGCATGTCAAGATGACAACCAGTTTGCTAGCAAGTAGCTGTCTCTGGCTCCCCAGACCTTGCCCACAGCAAGTAGCTACACGGGAAATGTTGAGACGGAGGGGGCACGTCAAGGAGTTGGCTGCTTTGCTAGCAAGTGGCTATCCCCGGCTCCCAGCACTTGGCCAAGGTAAATACCTACACAAGGAATGCTGAGATTGGGGGGAAGGGGGGCATGTCAAGGAGTTGGTTGCTTTGCTAGTGAGTGGCTGTCTCTGGCTCCCAACACTTGACCAAGGCAGATGCCTACACCAGCAAAGCTGATTTGCTAGCGAGTGGCTGTCTCTGGCTCCCAGCACTTGTCTGAAACAAATACCAAGATGAGGAATGCCAAGACATGGAGAGGGCATGTCAAGATGACGACCAGTTTGCTTGCCAGTAGCTGTCTCTGGCTCCCAGCACTTGCCCACGGCAAGTACCTACACGGGCAATGTTGAGACCAGGAGGGGGCATGTCAAGGAGTTGGCTGCTTTGCTAGTGAGTGGCTGTCTCTGGCTCCCAGCACTTGGCCAAGGCAAGTACCTACACTAGGAATGCCGAGACAGGGAGGGGGCATGCCATCTTTGGGCAAGTGCAGGGAGCTGGAGACAGCCACTCACTAACAAAGCAGCCATTTCCTTGCTAGCTGCGGTTTCGAGTGGCCAGGGATAGGATGGTATGATTGGGGATTGGATTGTATGATTGGGGATAGGATGGTATGATTGGGGATTGGATGGTATGATTGGGGATAGGATGGTATGATTGGGGATAGGATGGTATGATTGGGGATAGGATGGTATGATTGGGGATTGGCCGGGAGGGTCGTGACTAGATTGGGTGACTTATCTCAGTGCTATAGTCAACTTTATTCTTTTAGCAGTCTAATGCCTGAACCAGTAATATATAGAACTGCATGCAGCCCATGCCTAATTGCTGGTACTGTATGCTTTATTTTGTTGTGAAAAAAAAAACCCCCCCCCCCCCCCCCCCCCCCCCCCCCCCCAGCATTTCTAGCCGTGGCCATCTTGAGTAAGGGCAGATAATTCATAAAACATTTACTTTCTGGAATTCGTCTGTCCTTAGCTCAGTCATTCAGGCAGGACGATGTACTTAGCTGAGAAAGCCCCTCCCATGAAGACTCCTGGGATGTATGACATCATTTTGGCCTAGCCTTGAAACCAGGAAGTAATTGAAGAAATCTGAAAAAAAAAAGTATAAAATACTGTCAGTAGATATAATATCCACTTGAAGACCGAGCATTTTCTGGCACGTTTACATTTTGTATTTTTTTTGCTAGAAAATTACTTATAACCCCCCAAACAGTATATTTTTTTTTTTAGCAAAGACCCTAGAGAATGAAATGGCGATTGTTGCAATTTTTTAATGGCACATGGTATTTGCACAGCGGTTTTTCAAACACAACTTTTTGGAAAAAATACACTTTAGTGAATTTAAAAAAAATACAAAACGCAATATATACCACGAATAGTTTTTTTTTGTAAAATATGAAAGAGGACATTGCGGCGAGTAAATAGATACCCAACATGTCATGCTTTAAAATGGCGCATGCTCATGGAATGGCGACAAATTGCGCTACTTAAAAATCTCCATAGGCGACGCTTTAAACATTTTTACAGGTTACCAGATTAGAGGTAGAGGCGTTCTAGCGCTAGAATGATTACTCGCGCTCTAATGCTCGCAGCGATACCTCACATGTGTGCTGCAAACACCATTTACACATGCGTGCACGATTTACGTATGCATTCGCTTCTGCGCGTGAGGGATGGGAGCGCTTTAAAAAATGTTTTATTTTTTTTTTATTGTCTCTTTATTTATTTTTAATTTTTATTCCTATGACAAGGAATGTAAGCATCTCATGTACCAGAAATATGCATGGCAGGTCCTTAACAGCGCGGTCACATCAAACCTGACTTTGAAATTGCGCGACTTACAGTGAAGTCGCACGATTTCAAAGTCGGGTGACTTGCCGATTTCAGGTGCGATTTGCAAGACGTCCGACACAGAGGTCTATGCAAATCGCACCAAAAGTAGCGCATGGACTACTTTAGAAGTCAGTGCGGATCCGACCAAATCGGGAACTGCCGCGATATGATTGCTGTAATTGCGGGCAATAGGGTGCGACTTGGCATGCGATTTGCAAGCCGCAGGGCATGCAAATCACATGCCAAGTTGCACCCAGTGCGACCGGGGTGTTAAAGCAAAGTTCCACTCACTCTGTAAAAAAATAAAAGTTAGCAGCTACAAATACTGTACTGCGACTGACTTTTAAAAAACAGCCACTTACCTGTCCCTCGGTCCCGTGGTGTGTCCCCTGCAGTCCGTTTCACCGGCCGTCCTGTATTCCAGGAGGCCGGCATCTTCAGTGTGGGCACCCGGCTGTGACAGCTTGCGGCTTCACAGACGGGTGCCCAGTGCGCATGCGCGAGAAGCACTGCGCTTCATGAATGGCCCCGTAGTCTACTGGGACCTGTCACATGTCCCAGGAGACTACAGAGAGGGAGGGAGGGGGGGGATGAAACTTCCGCTTTCGATCGCCTAACGATTGCAGCAGAATTTGAGAGCGGGTATCTGTCAATTTCGGGTACCCCCCCCTGCTGCTCCCCAAAGGTTGCCAATCCTTAATGGGGAGCGGGGGACCAGTCTTTAAGCGGAACTTCCCCTTTTTGGTGGAACACCACTTTAAGGAGCGATCTGAGGGTAAAAAAAAAAAAACAATCTCTTCTTTACCTTTCCAAGCAACACATCAAAAAATATATATTTTTTTGAACTTTTGCTGTAAAAAAAGAAAAAAAAAAAGTTTTCTTCCGCCGCCGACCGGATGTGACGTCATGATGTCGCTCTGGTACTCCATCATGAATGATAGAGGCAATCAAAGACCATAGAGTCTCTCATCGCCTCCACCTTCAGCCAAACACACAGATCGATTTTTTTTTTTTTTTTTTTTTTTAACGGTAGACCAGCAAGTGGCAGGGGGGGGGGGGTGAGCTTTGTAACTGTAAGTTACAAAGAGAAAAGTAATGAGCTGCATCTGCAAGATTCAGGTCACTGCAAGATCCCCGCTACGAAAAATTTTTGACAAATTTTTGTATTTGTTTCTGCATACCATCCTATCCCCAATCCTATCCCCAATCATACCATCCTATCCCCTATCATACCATCCAATCCCCAATCCTATCCCCTATCATACCATCCTATCCCCAATCATACCATCCTATCCCCAATCATACCATCCTATCCCCTATCATACCATCCTATCCCCAATCATACCATCCTATCCCCTATCATACCATCCAATCCCCAATCCTACCATCCAATCCCCAATCCTATCCCCAATCATACCATCCTATCCCCAATCATACCATCCTATCCCCTATCATACCATCCTATCCCCAATCCTATCCCCTATCATACCATCCTATCCCCTATCATACCATCCTATCCCCAATCATATCCCTATCATACCATCCTATCCCCTATCATACCATCCTATCCCCAATCCTATCCCCTATCATACCATCCTATCCCCAATCATACCATCCTATCCCCAATCATACCATCCTATCCCCTATCATACCATCCTATCCCCAATCATACCATCCTATCCCCTGTCATACCATCCTATCCCCAATCCTATCCCCAATCATACCATCCTATCCCCTATCATACCATCCTATCCCCAATCCTATCCCCTATCATACCATCCTATCCCCTATCATACCATCCTATCCCCAATCATATCCCCTATCATACCATCCTATCCCTGTCATACCATCCTATCCCCAATCATACCATCCTATCCCCAATCATACCATCCTATCCCCAATCCTATCCCCAATCATACCATCCTATCCCCAATCATACCATCCTATCCCCAATCATACCATCCTATCCCCAATCATACCATCCAATCCCCAATCATACCATCCAATCCCCAATCATACCATCCAATCCCCAATCATACCATCCTATCCCCTATCATACCATCCTATCCCCAATCCTATCCCCTATCATACCATCCTATCCCCAATCATACCATCCTATCCCCTGTCATACCATCCTATCCCCAATCATACCATCCTATCCCCAATCCTATCCCCAATCATACCATCCTATCCCAATCATACCATCCTATCCCCAATCATACCATCCTATCCCCAATCATACCATCCTATCCCCAATCACCATCCTATCCCCAATCATACCATCCTATCCCCAATCATACCATCTATCCCCAGTCCTATCCCCAATCATACCATCCAATCCCCAGTGTCCTCCTATTCTGATAATGAAATGTCCTTGCAGTTGCTGTCTCACGACCGATACCGGGCCGCTCAGCGCATCGCAGTGTTCCTGAACATGCCAGATGAGATCCAGACCGGGGACATCCTACGGGACATCTTCAGGCAAGGCAAGTCCTGCTTCATTCCACACGGTACCAGCGTGGCACCAATCACATGGACATGGTGAAGCTCAGCTCGGTGGAGGAAATTCAAAACTTGCCAGTGACCACGTGGAACATCCGCCAGCCCGGGGAGGAAGAACGCCGGGAGGAAGCTTTGTCCACGGGTGAGCGAGAGGTTTCTGTGAGCGTCTAAGTGGAATGGGTACGGAGTGTAGATTAATGAGAGAAAAAAAAAGAAAAGCTGGAAAAAAAAAGAAAAGTCAGCAGCTACAAAAACTGTAGCTGCTGACTTTTAAAATACAGCCACTTACCTGTCCCTCGGTCCCGTGGTGTCCTCACCACAGCTGGTTTCACTGGCCATCTTCTCTCCCCGGCATCTTCAGTGTGGGCACCCGGCTGTGACAGCTTGCGGCTTCACAGCCGGGTGCCCACTGCGCATGTACGAGAAACGCTGCGCTTTGTGAACGGCCCCGTAGTCTTCTGGGACCTGTCATGTGTCCCTGAAGACTACAGGGAGGGGCGATTTCCGCCTCCGATCGCTTAGGCGATCGCAGTGGGAGCGGGTTCCTGTCAAATTCAGATACCCTCTACCCGAAGGTGCCAATCCTTAATGGGGACCGGGGGACAAAGCATTAAAATAGAACGTCCCCCTTTGGGTGGAGCTCCGCTTTATACAACTGTAGTATCAGGCTGCAACATAAAATTAAAAAAATTGAAGGGGGTCTGAATACTTTTTGAATGTGCTGTACATGGGTGCAAGCTGGACCAATGTAGCTGTGTAAAAATCTACTAAGCCTGGAATTCGCCTTTAACCCCTTTCGCTGCCAGGTCTGACAGCAGGCGGCTGCAGCTACCGGGATGGTGTGTAAATCTGACAAGCAGATTCCTGCCTGTCAGGTGGAAGCAGTCCAGCAGCTCCGCTGCAATCGATTGCTTCCACAGCCCCCTGGTTCCGGTCGTCCCCCCCCCCCCCATCCCGTGGGAACGCTCCCGCCAAGTAATCGGGCTCCGCTTGCCCATCTGTGGGCCCGGGGAGAGCTATGGCGGGTAGAGGGAGAGAGAGCGGACAAGTGTGCACTCCCCTCATCTTCTTCCTGTGACCTGGAAGGCGGCGTGTGACGTCACTTCCAGGGTCACGGTTGCCACTTTCTCAGCTAGAATAGATGGGGAGAGATGTATTGCAATGGAATCTGCATTGCATTACATCCAGTGGAGCCCAGAGGAAACATTGGTGGTCTTTTAGACCCTGCATATCTCATTAAAGAGAACCTGTCACCAAAAAATCATCACATTTGTGTCCCCTATGTGGTGAAAACAAAGTGAAGTAAAAAAAAATTTTTTTTACTATTTTTTAAAAATATTTACACCAAAGCACAGAACATTCCTTCCCCCCCAAAAAATAAATTTGATCACCCCCACATAGACGCACATACAAACGTAAACGCACACGTTGGGGCGCCTACGCGGGAAAACGTCAATTGCGATAAACACGTTACATATCAGCGCGCACGCCGGATTGAGAGCGATCATTCTAACACATGACCTCTTCCGTGATACTAAACTGATGACCTGTCGGGGTTTTTGAAGCGTCGCCTATAGAAAATATCGGCACTGAAGTTTGTCGCCATTTCACAGGCGCACACAAATTTAAGGTTTGACATGTTGGGTATCGATTTACTCGGCGAGCCTTGTCTTTTATATTTTACCCACAATTTGGGTAAGTTATTCTGTTTGTCCTAAAATTCACTTTAGTGTGATTTTTACTGACATTTTGCATTTCCTAGACCTTTGCAATAATATCGTGTGACCTAAAAAAATTGGAACTACCGCTGTTTAATTCTCTATGGTGTCTGCTTTCAGAAAATATATCCTGTTTGGGGGGATTGTGTAATCTCCGGCCTAAAAGGATTTTTTTTAAAAATATGTGCAAAAAATGGCAAAACAGCCCTGACAGTGAAAGGGTCAACCATTTCATATAATATTTGTAAAGCAGGGTTCTCAGTCCAGGATTCCATGGAAGTCTCTAGGGTTCCTTTGGAGGGGTTGTAGGGGTTCCTTGAGCGATGAGCAATTTCTGCCTCTCAGGTAAGTTGCCACTGACACCATTGATCTTTTTAGCTATCAATAAGGGGGTAATTCTTCCCACTGACCACCAATGTAAGGGACATTCTTCTCACTGATCACCAATGTAAGGGATATTCTTCCCACTGACCACCAATGTAAGGGACATTCTTCCCACTGACCACCAATGTAAGGGACATTCTTCCCACTGACCACCAATGTAAGGGACATTCTTCCCACTGACCCCCAATGTAAGGGACATTCTTCCCACTGACCCCCAATGTAAGGGACATTCTTCCCACTGACCCCCAATGTAAGGGACATTCTTCCCACTGACCCCCAATGTAAGGGACATTCTTCCCACTGACCCCCAATGTAAGGGACATTCTTCCCTGATCCCCCAATGTAAGGGACATTCTTCCCACTGACCACCAATGTAAGGGACATTCTTCCCACTGACCACCAATGTAAGGGGCATTCTTCCCACTGACCCCCAATGTAAGGGGCATTCTTCCCACTGACCCCCAATGTAAGGGGCATTCTTCCCACTGACCCCCAATGTAAGGGGCATTCTTCCCACTGACCACCAATGTCTTCCCACTGATCCCCAATGTAAGGGACATTCTTCCCACTGACCACCAATGTAAGGGACATTCTTCCTACTGACCACCAATGTAAGGGACATTCTTCCCACTGACCCCCAATGTAAGGGACATTCTTCCCACTGACCCCCAATGTAAGGGACATTCTTCCCACCACCAATGTAAGGGACATTCTTCCCACTGATCACCAATGTAAGGGACATTCTTCCCACGGACCACCAATGTAAGGGACATTCTTCCCCCTGACCACCAATGTAAGGGACATTCTTCCCACTGACCCCCCATGTAAGGGACATTCTTCCCACTGACCCCCCAATGTAAGGGACATTCTTCCCACTGACCCCCCCCCAATGTAAGGGACATTCTTCCCACTGACCACCAATGTAAGGGGGATTCCCTGATGAAGCCACGTGACCCGGTGGTGTAACGTGTAGGGGAGGGGCTCTGACGTCACGACGCCATACCTATCGACATTCACGGCGAGTACAGACAGGGTGCCTGAGAGCACACACTGAGGCATATCATACAGTTTGTTTTCGCTTCCTATATGTGAGTGCGCAATTTTGAGGTTACTAATAAAGTAAATTTATAAAGGATAAGGCACTATATATCTGTTCTTTTGCATGATATCAAACTTGGTGGAGAGGCGGAGATAGACACTTATATCCCCGAAGAAGGAGGAGATTTACACATCATCCACTGAGGCATAGATTGCCAGTCAAGGACAAAGGGCGACCCCCAGTGGAAGAAGGGTGTTAATACGTCTGTATCCTGGAAAAGAATCCTCTTTATACAATTATTGTCATCTGATCCCTCGAGGACAGAAGCGTGATCAGCCTTACTTAACAGTTTGGCTATAAAGTGAGGTGAGCGCGTATATTTATCAGCACAGCAAGAGTGGCACTGCACGTTTATTTGGCACATCAAGATTTATATATTCACAGAGTGGACTTATACTTATTTCCAATTTTTTTCAAATTTTATTTATTATTTTTTTAATCTATGTACACAGATTTTATGCATACTGAATAGATTTATTTTGCATTCTTCACAAGTATATCTTTTTTGCACCTTTAAGTGTGGCACGTTCACTATTATTTGATGCACTTACAGTCAGGTCCATAAATATTGGGACATGGACACAATTCTAACATTTTTGGCTCTATACTCCACCACAATGGATATGAAATGAAACGAACAAGATGTGCTTTAACTGCAGACTGTCAGCTTTAATTTGAGGGTATTTACATGCAAATCAGGTGAACGGTGTAGGAGTGACAACAGTTTGCATATGTGTCTCCCACTTGTTAAGGGACCAAAAGTAATGGGACAGAATAATAATCATAAATCAAACTTTCACTTTTTAATACTTGGTTGCAAATACTTTGCAGTCAATGACAGCCTGAAGTGTGGAACGCATAGACATCACCAGACGCTGGGTTTCATCCCTGGTGATGCTCTGCCAGGCCTCTACTGCAACTGTCTTCAGTTCCTGCTTGTTCTTGGGGCATTTTCCCTTCAGTTTTGTCTTCAGCAAGTGAAATGCTCAATCGGATTCAGGTCAGGTGATTGGCCATTGCAGAACATTCCACTTCTTTGGTTGCTTTTGCAGTCTGCTTTGGGTCATTGTCCATCTGCACTGTGAAGCCTCCAATGAGTTGTGAAGCATTTGGCTGAATATGAGCCGATAATATTCCCGAAACACTTCACAATTCATCCGGCTGCTTCTGTCAGCCGTCACATCATCAATAAATACAAGAGAAGCAGTTCCATTGGCAGCCATACATGCCCACGCCATGACACTACCACCACCATGATCACTGATGAGGTGGTATGCTGAGGACCATGAGCAGTTCCTTCTCCATACTCTTCTCTTCCCATCACTCTGGTACAAGTTGATGTCGGTCTCATCTGTCCATAGGATGTTGTTCCAGAACTGTGAAGGCTTTTTTACATGTCGTTTGGCAAACTCTAATCTGGCCTTCCTGTTTTTGAGGCTCACCAATGGTTTCCATGTTGTGGTGAATCCTCTGTATTCACTCTGGTGAAGTCTTCTCCTGATTGGTGACTTTGACACACATACACCTACCTCCTGGAGAGTGTTCTTGATCCGGCCAACTGTTGTGAAGGGTGTTTTCTTCACCAGGGAAAGAATTCTTCGCTCATCCACCACAGTTGTTTTCCGTGGTCTTCCGGGTCTTTTGGTGTTGCTGAGATCACCGGTGCGTTCCTTCTTTTTAAGAATGTTCCAAACAGTTGTTTTGGCCACGCCTAATGTTTTTGCTATCTCTCTGATGGGTTTGTTTTGTTTTTTCAGCCTAATGATGGCTTCACTGATAGTGACAGCTCTTTGGGTCTCATCTTGAGAGTTGACAGCAACAGATTCCAAATGCAAATAGCACACTTGAAATGAACTCTGGACCTTTTATCTGCTCATTGTCATTGGGATAATGAGGGAATAACACACACCTGGCCATGGAACAGCTGAGAAGCCAATTGTC